CAAGAGGGAATTTAGTTGATATAGTGTACTTAGACTTTCATTAAGCCTTTGACAAGGTCCCGGACCAAAGATTCTTAAGCAAAGTAAACTGTCATGGGATAAGAGGGAAAGCCCATTCTCATGGATTTGTAACTGGTTAAAAGGAAACAAATAAATAGTCAGCTTTCAAAAGGGAGAGAGGAAAACAGGGGTGTCCCCCAAGGATCTGTACCCACACACTGGCTATTAAGACCTGCACAGGGACTCAGGGCTGCCAAGGAAGATTTCATTTTCAAAAGTTCCATATGAATGAGTGGGCACACAACAAAAATCATTCCACATATAGACATAAAATAGTAGAGCCAACACTGGTCTGTACTAGGACCAACGTTATTCAACATATTCATAAATGGTCTAGAAAAAAACAGGATAAATAGTGAGGTCACAAAATTTGCAGGGGATATAAAACTGCTCAAGATATTTAAGTCCCAAGCAGACAACAAAGAGCTGCAAAAGGATCTCACAAAAGTAGGTAACTGGACAATAAAATAGCAGATGAAATTCAATGTTGATAAATGCAAAGTAATGCATGTTGGAAAACATTCCCAACTATACATATAAATGATGGAATTTAAGTTAGCTGTTATCACTGAAGAAAGATCTTGGAGTCAATGTGGATGGTTCTCTGAAAATAGCCACTTCACGTGCAGCAGCAGTCAAAAAAGCAAACACAATGCTGGGAATTAAGAAATAAAACAGAAAATATACTGCTGCCACATAAATCCATGGTACGCCCACATCTGGACTACTGCATGCAGAAGTGGCCACTGGGGATGTGACTGTGTACATGGTTACCCGATGAGCCTGGGCTCATCGGTTAACCCTCATGGTTACACGAAGCCCCCCCTGCTGCCTTTGGGGCAGGTGGGAGCCAGTGCACATGTGGAACCAGCTTTTAAGATGGCTCCCTGCACAGGCCGGTTCCCACGAAGCCACCCCTCTCGCCCTCGGCCCTCGCACCGCTGCCTCTGATACAGAGGCAGTAGCACAAGGGTGGAGGTGAAAGGCAGACGCCGGTGCTCGCCTCCCTCCCCCCAACACATGTAAATGTGAAACTGCTGAAAATTTTCAGTGGTTTTCCCTGGTGGCCCCCTGGACCCTCCTACACTAGTTGCTCCTGAGTGAAGACACTGCTGTTTGTACTACTGACAGAATTGGCTTCTACCTGTGTCTCATAATGCCCGCCCCAAGCTCTGTTCAGTGTTTTGATCTTTGTTGCCCTGCAGAAATGCACACACACACCCTTCAAATCTCTGAAAAGTATCTGACAGATGAACATGCTGCTCTATTTGGGGAACAAGGAGCAAATTACTGGACCGTCCCTGCTCTACGCAGGCAGAGATAAGGATATTAATAGCTATGTGATTAACTGGTTAATCGATAAGCAATTGCTTATCAATTAACGATCTTGATTAACTGCAATAACCCTCCCGCCATCTCTCCATGCTTTGAATTTAAAACTTACACCAGCAAGCTGGACCAGCCCACCAGTCCAAGTTTTCAAGGAAGAGCACCCAGGGGAGCTCCTGCCTCCCTGACACAGAGGCAGCAATGCAGGGTGACAGGGATATTCCTTAGAAGTGGGGCCAGGAACGAACTGGCTGCCGGACCTGTCCCTAGGTAGGAGCACTGAGTAACCATGTAACTGCTAAGAATTTTTAGCAGTTAGTTGATTATTAAAATTACTATTTTTTAACATCTGCAGGCAGAACAGGCTGCTTTGGGAGAGACTGCTGTGCCAAGCAGTGCCAGAGCTCATATGAAGAATGTATCTCCTGCCCCCAACTCAGGATAGGTTAGTCACCCTGTCCCTAGACACACCAATCTCCTCTTCCTCCCTCTGTCCCATACCTGATCAGTTGAAAAGCATGCCCCTGGAAAGATGTGTTTGAGAACTTGCGTCATGTGACATTATATCTTGATAAACTTTAAAAAACAACAAATGGTCTGGTAGCACTTTATAGACTAACAAAACATGTAGATGGTATCATGAGCTTTCATGGGCACAGCCCACTTCTTCAGATGACCAGAGTGTTGGATGTCCAGATACTAAAATAAATAGGAGGGGAGGGAGAGGAGGAGAACAAGAAGAGGAGTGGGTATAAAAATATTAAGGGGAAAGCCAAGTTGGAATGTAACAGGAAAAACAGTCATAAGCACCTAAAGACTAGATAGTCAAAAGAGGCAGATAAGAACCATTAGTAGGCAATAGAGAAGAAGAGTACTAACACCAGGCACCATACACACAGAGTCATTGGCTCCTTCATTGTTTGGTCGGTTGATAATGTCCCAGCCATCCAGTATTTTTATTTAATCCATTAGCATGAGTATCAAACTTGTGAATGAATTGTAGTTCCAGTCCTTCTCTGTGCATTTGGCTTGTGGAAGTGGTCTGTAACAAAACAGCCACTTGAAGATCTGTTAATGAATGCCCAGGTAGATTGAAATGTTCCCCTACAGGTTTTTGTATGTTCCCTTTACGGCTATCTGATTTGTGTCCATTAATTCTTTCCCGTAGGGACTGTCCAGTTTGTCCAATACATATTGTAGTGGGGCATTGCAGGCATTTGATGACAGATTACATTCCTGGATGTGCAGTTAAATGAACCTCTGATTTAGTGGCGTATGTGGAGGCATTGCAAATCTTTCCCAAAGCACCTGCAGACAGTTGTGCAGTAGAATAGTCACCACAGTGCACTGCTCTCTGTGTCAATGAGATCTGTTAGTGTGAATGCACAAGGAGATAGTGTGCACATGCAGCAGCTGTTTTAATTAAAGCAGCATAAATTGTGCCAAGAAAAATTAGTTGTGCAGACAAAGCCTATCTAAACATAGGTAGTTCTTTTTTTACCAACATAGTATCTAATAGTCTCCTTGTGTGATTATAGGAAGTTACCTAACCAACCTCAAGAGCTAGAAGCAAAAGTGTAAGATGATAAAAATCCATTTTTCTAGAATATTTGCCATGCCTTATGCAAGATGGATGGAAGCCAATTTTTGTTCTTAAAAATCAATTGTATGCAAGTGAACATGGAATCAGGACCCAAACTTGTGAAACACAGCATTACTCAGGTAAGCAGCCCCAATGAAGTCAGTGGTGCTACTCACATGACTAAAGTTATACATGCGGGCTGTGTCTACACTGGGCCACTTATTCTAGAAAAGCAGCCGCTTTTCCGGAATAACTTGCCAGCTGTCTACACTGGCCGCTTGCTTTTCTGGAAAAGCAATGACGATCTACCGTAAAATTGTCAGTGTTTTTCCGGAAAAACTATGCTGCTCCCGTTCGGGCAAAAGTCCTTTTCCAGAAAAACTGTTCCGGAAAAGGGCCAGTGTAGACAGCACAGTAGTCTTTTCCGCAAAAAAGCCCCAATCGTGAAAATGACGATAGGGGATTTTTTTCAGAAAAGCGTGTCTACATTGGCCACGGACGCTTTTCCGGAAAAAGTGCTTTTCCGGAAAAGCATCCTGCCAATGTAGATGCGCTTTTTCCAGAAATACTTATAACGGAAAACTGTTCCGTTTTAAGCATTTCCGGAAAAGGGTGCCAGTGTAGACGTAGCCGCGGTGAAAACTGTTTGCAGGATCAAGCACCCTAATGTGCCTGTGCAATTTTAGAATATCTTTAATGCTCTGACAAGGAGTCCTGTAGCACCTTATGGACTGACTAAGATGTATTGGAGCATAAGCTTTCGTGGGCAATGACCCACTTCGTCAGATGCATGCATCTGACAAAGTGGGTCTTTTCCCACGAAAGCTTATGCTCTAATACATCTGTTAGTCCATAAGGTGCTACAGGACTCTGTCAGTTTTGCAGATCCAGACTAACACAGCTACCCCTCTGATACTTTAATGCTCAGAGGTACTGTACAGCATAGAGCATTAACCTGTTAATAAAGATTTTCTATATGGGTTAATGTTTCATATATTACTCTATATGTATGCAGCTAGATTAAACTAGATGCATGCAATAGATGTGTGCAGAAACATACCCCTTTGTAGACTGACAAATCATGGCAGCCATTCACAATTCCTGAGAATTTTGCAACTGGCTACAAAAACCCCAACTTATTAAAGCCATTTCTCTATCAACGTACAGGTAGGCTAGTGTATAATCTGTATGCACAGAATGTAGAGGATGCCCAATATCTAAGTCACAGAGACTCACTCACTGCTAACATAGACCGGTTTATCTTTTACCTTACTATCCCATTGCCAAGGTGCAGTTTGCAGATGCTGCTTGCACATGCATGCACATTCACAAGTATAAAAGCTCCATGCTCTGGAACACATGGCCTGCCTTCCAAAGATGCTGCAGAGCACCTGAGGCTGACAGTCAGGGTTTTTTCAGCATCTCTGAAAATATCAGGCCAAAAGAAACAAAACACTGGTCTTTGCCAGGCGGGGAGAGAATAAAATGTCGAAATGGGTAAAAAATAAACACTCAAACTATAGAACTAAGTAGGTATCTCTACTGTAGGTATCAAACACGAGGTAGAAACCCACAATAAACCCAGCTACATTTGACGCTTGGATCGTGCCAAACTCTGCAGGAAGGCAGCTGCCTCACTAATGACCAACCCTTACTCGATTAGCTAAGTTGCTAGAGAAAACACAAAAGCCCCCGTCTTGCAGGAAAAGCCCGGCTGCCAATGCCGGCAGGGACGGGAAGGAGAAGCGGACGGGAAGCTGCCTGAACCACGGCTCGTGTCCATAATGACTTTGGCTGCGCTCCGCGGCAGCTGAGCGCATCGCTCACAAGCCCTGGCTTCGCCCCGACACGGGAGCGGTTCCGGCCCCTCGCCGCTGGGCGCGGCCGGGGAAAGGCGGCTGAGGGGCCAAGCTGCCAGCAGCGGCCTCCCCTCCACAGTCACAAGCCCGGCCCCGGGCTTCCCCAAGCTGCCCACCCCTGCACGGGCTCTAGCAGGGAGCAGCCCGGACAGGGCGGCAGCGCCACTCACCTCCAGCAGCTGCCTCCGGCTGGGCTGGGCCTTAGCCTACGGGACCCTCACAACAATCACAAGAGCAGCCCGCCCTACGTCGCTGACTGACACGTCGAGATGTCCAATGGGAGCCCCAGTACTATTCTGGCTGCACCAATCGTCGTTTCCTAGAAGGGCCGAGCTAATGCCTGGTTGGACAGGAGAGACAGGAAGGCGGGGAGGGGCTTATTTGTCACCCCCGACCGCGAGCTTACGTCAGTAGCGTGGGCTAGCGGGCGGTGGCTGTTCCGGGGAAGGTGTGTTGAACGTGCGGAGGCGCGACGCCGCCAACTGTCCGATGTGCGCCGCGCGCAGACCCGCGAGCCCCAAGCTGCCGCGGCAACCCGCCGTCGTCCTGCGCATGCGCTGTGACATCCGTCATCAGAGGCTGGGCGCTGCCGGGGGGAGCAGAGCGGTTGAAGCTGTGGCGCGGGCCAGGACGTTGGTTCTCTCAACCGCCACGCGCGCTCAGCTACTGCCGGGCCCGGCCCCGCCCACACCCCGCTCCCCCCCACGCCTGCGGTAGGCCTGGGGGGGCTGCGTGTTGATGCCAGGCCCCAGAGCAAGGTGGGGGGTGCGAGGGTGCCACGCTCCTGGAAAGGGCAAGGCCTTCAGCAGAAGGGGTAGAGCCAGAGGCAGCCAACCCCTCCACACTGCCTGGTGCAGGCCCCCTGGGGGGGCGCTGGTGGCTATACAGCGGCCCTCCTCTTCCCCTGCAGCAGCGGGCTGCTTATACAACAAAGAAAAACACTCTCAACTGTAAGTGTGAAAGACTCTTGTTTATTTCAACACTTTCCTACACACAGTGCTAGCCTGAGCCATTCATGCACCCTGGGCGCATGGCGCATGTGCAGCCCTGCCCCCAGCCAGTCCAGTCTAGAATGGGGCACCCCAGTCAGCCCGTAGCTTAAGCCAGCTCTGCTTACACATGAAACTTGTTTTAGCTACCTGACCATTGACCATTGACCATTCAACAAGGTCTATCAACCATGCAGTACTCGGGGTAAGCCATGAGTACTGCTGTCTGACCGTGACAAAGATGCAATATTTAAATGTTTTACAAGCAACAAAATATACAGAAGAATGTAGTCTGGAGTGCTTACAATATTTCATAATGTTATCCATGCCTTGATCGTGCAAAATACAGGCAGCTCCCAGAGCTCACTACGGGATCCATTCATATGGAGCTGTTTGTGCAATTGGACCTTAAGAGTTCAGCAATGCCATTTATTTTAAAATATATAATGCTTCTGAAAACAATAATTGCTTAGGAAACCAAACACCCTGTAAAAAAACTACTTACAGCCACATCATTTTGATGTTTGTTGGAAATGCAAGGTCCTTGCATTAATGTTTTAAGAATACAGCTTCCAGCAAAGTCTACAGTCCATGCAGAGGGAGCCAAATGGCAGAAAAGCCTCTTCTGGGGGAAAAAAACTGAATGTATGCAAATGCAAGCACTATTCCTCTTCTGGAAACCCTCTGCCCCCCCCCAGTGTAGCTGTACCATTAGAGGCCTTTGAAACCCCTAGGCGTGAACATGTGGGAAGCAGCAAGATTCTTTTAAATGGTGGGAATGTAGGAAGCATGAGCGCTAAGATTGGGAGAGTGATTTTGCCCAACACAGAATTTCATTAGGTAGTAAAGTTAGATCAGCAGTGGGTGTGGTCCCGGAGACATTTTGTTTACTGCTGCCCATGTGCAGGGTTGTCAGATTCCGCTGGTTTCCATCCATGTAGTTTTTTCCTACTGGTGTTACTAAACTGACATGCACAGAGAGCAAGGACATGTGAAGAAAGTGTGTGCTAATTGCATGCAACATTTACCAAGAGCCATGCACGCCCTCTGCATTCAAATCGCTGCTGTGGTTCAGTTGGCACACCCTACAAATTCTGGGTATGCAAGCGCAATCAGCAAATCTACCACGTGACAATCTTGCGGCCCATTGAGATGAAGGAGGGCCACTCGTGACCCTTCATTAGTCTAGGGGTACGTCTAGACTACATGCCTCTGTCACCAGAGGCATGTAGATTAGGCTACCAGGCATAGGAAAATGAAGCGGCGATTTAAATAATCGCCGCTTCATTTAAATTTACATGGTTGCCGCGCTGAGTGTCGCGCGTGGGTCAACCAAAGGCATTTGTCGACCACCCAGGTATACCTCATCCCACATCGAGTTAGATGTGGGGACAAAAATTCCAATTATATACATTGTCAAACTAGTATAAATCATATTGTATAATCATTATGCAAATGATTTCTTTTGATACATATTAAGGCTAGGATTTGGAATGGAATATAAGACTCATTCACACAAATCCAAATGCTCAACTCTCTTTGAATTTCAATGCCTTAGATACATATACTACCTAGGTCCCTTTGAAATCCCTGTCATATAAAAAAAATCTCTCTCGATGTATGTCTATATACTTTCTATCCATTGTAAGAGAGATCATTCATGGAAAAAGTCATTTTATCAATACCAATTTTGGTTTAGTCAATGTTGCATTTGGTTAGTTCAGTGTCTGTTCTACAATATAGAGGTGATTCTCAGGCCTGGAGTCAAAGGCAATTCCAATAGATGAATGAATCTGAATGGTTTTTAAGGTGCAGTAAAAAATAAGACAGGATTTGGTTGTCTCTCCCTCAACAAAAGCTAGCAATGGAAGAATATTACAAGTAAGATATGAAAAAAAAAATTTAAATTCCTCTTGGTCACAATTTACGATAGGCTAAATTTTTCATAAAGCTCTAAGGCAGTCAGGAACTTTTCCCGAAGGATTTCTTCATTGCTGTATCTGGGCAGCATCAAGATGCGATAGCAGGTATTGGCAATGGGATAGAAATAGTCTGGGTTTTCTTTTTTAAGGTCTGCAATAGTGAAATCAAAATGTCTCATTCCTTCAGCAGGGATTCGATCTGTTCCTGTCAGAAAAGCTAAGGGGAGGAAAAGAAAAGAAAGTCAAACAGATACAGACAAAAGACACACTAAAATAATAATACTGAGGTCAGGGAGAAAAAGAATTGCAAAGTAAATATACAGGTAATTGCATAAGATACTGGTTTTGTTTTTTGTTTTGCATTGAGGCACTGTCTACACCGTGTCTTTGCCACAGGAGCCTATGCAAATGAAGTGCAGATTAGCATATCACCATGTTTCATTTGCATAGGCTCTTGCGGCAAAAGCCGCAGTGTAGACAAAGCCATAGTGTACTTGAATATTTTGAAACCTTTCTGTCCTGTGAGGAAATTTTTATATTTTTTGTCATACCAAAAAGTCTAAATTTCAAAACTTTTCATGGAATGGAAAATTCATGAAAATGTCAATTACAAAATGTCTTAACATTTTTGTGCAACATTTTAAATCAAAATTAAACATTTCAGTACTCTCAAATTTGAAACATTTTAATTTGGTTCAGCAAACCAAAGGGAAAATTTTAATGATGAACCAAGTCAAAACGAATTGGGGTCCCTCCTGAGCTATTATGGCACTTGATGGGAGTTGTAGTGCTGGTGCTTAATGTCTCCATTCTCCTCTAGGGACAGGACTCCCTTGCTGGTTGAACCAGCATGATATATCATGGAAAATGCAGTTCAGAGAGCACTTGCCCATAGAAGAAAATAAGTTATGAGTTACTGAATGACAATTTCCATAATGCTCTAGGACAGTTCATGTAAGTACAGATTAATGCTGAACTGATCTGAAACTAAACATGTTGGTTCATTTTAAAAAATCAAAATGTTTTCAATTTGGGTCTATCTGACCCCAAACATTTTGTTTAGATTTTTCTGGAAAATCAAAGAGCAAAATTTAAGTTTTCCTTTAGAAATGGCATTTTCTGTCGGAAAAATATTTGACAAATCTGCACACCAGCTCTACTAATAAGTTTGTTAACCAAGCAAACAGAGAATTGGGAAAAATGGTAGAAGTCTCTGCTCTAACACACACTTCTAAATTATTTCTAGCTGAACTACTTAATTTCATGCTATGGCTGTAGTTCATTATTCCATTAGTATCCAATGTCATGTTCTTTCATTTCTAGCCTTCTGAAGTCAATGGGGTTACATTGATGAAGAATTAAGTAGTAGATATTCTTCCGTTTAATCAAACTAAATAAAACTCATGGGCTGTGTCTAGACTGGCAAGTTTTTCCTAAAAAGTAGTTGCTTTTGCGGAAAAACTTGCTAGCTGTCTACACTGGCCGCTTGAATTTCCGCGAGAACACTGACGATCTCATGTAAGAAATCAGTGCTTCTTGCGGAAATACTATGCTGCTCCCGTTCGGGCAAAAGTCCTTTTGTGCAAAGCTTTTGCGCAAAAGGGCCAGTGTAGACAGCTCACATTTGTTTTGCACAAAAACGCATCTAGATTGCTACGGATGCTTTTCCGCAAAAAGTGCTTTTGCGCAAAAGCGTCCGTGCCAATCTAGATGCTCTTTTCCACAAATGCTTTTAACGGAAAACTTTTCCATTAAAAGCATTTGCGGAAAATCATGCCAGTCTAGACGTAGCCATGAGGTAATTGCTGTGAAGCTAATCAAGTACCTCATGCTTCAGCTGCATTCTAGTTCATGACTTATCACCTCCACTGGATCTCTATTAGCCTTAGATTGAATAAAGTGAGATCACAATAGATGTTAGGAATAAAAGAAATACAGTAAAATGCACTGGGGCAGAATCCAAGAGAGACCCATAGAAAGAGAAATAAATTTGGCAGAGAAGGCTCTGACATGGAAATGGTGACAACAAGCTAAATGCAGAAAAAAAAACAATTTACACAAATAATTATTTTACAGCCATTTTTTAAATAAAGAGAATATTTAGTGCATTATTTAATGTGCCTCTTATTACCAAGAAAATTCTTTTTCTTTTCTTCTGGAAGTTCATGAAACAGAGCCCAAAAATTCTTGATGGTTTGATCAGACTTTTCATAATCTGTGTAGTTTGTATTCTGTCAATGAGAATAAAAATAGCCCTGCCCAGTTAATCTAGACATGTAAAACTGGAAGGCACCTTGCAATGTCATCTAGTTCAGCCCCCTGCGCAAACTATTATAAAGACAATCCCTTATACCGTTGACTGATATTTTGTTTGTGATTCACTATAATTCTCAGCTCCCTTTCTGTAGTACTCTTTTGTAGGCTGTCGTTTTCCATTTTATATTTGTGCAATTGTGATCGGGGCAGCCCTAGACTAGCTGCCAGCAACTGGCGCCCTAGAAGAACCATACAATCGGCGCCCCCACCTCCAAACCCCTCAATAATATTGCGCCACCATTTGGTGCCCCATTTAACTTGGTGCCCTAGGCAACCGCCTAGTTCGCCTATATGGACGGGCCACTCCTGATTGTGATTGATTATGCCTTCCTAAGTGGAGTTCTTGGCATTGTTCCTTATTGGATTTAATCCTATTTATTTCAGACCATTTCTCCAAAAGATCATCTTGAATTTTAATCCTATTCTTTGGAGTGCTTTTAACTCCTCCCACTTTTGTCATTGTCCACAAGTGAGCGCTCTAAGCCATTATCCAAATCATTTATGAAGATATTGATTAGAATCATAACCAAGATAGATCTTGCTGGATCCTATTCAATATGCCTTTCTAGCTTAATTGTGAACTGTTGATAACTATTCTGAGTACTCTTTTCCAGCTAGTTATGCTCTTACCTTATTATGTTTGTCTAGGCTATATTTCACAACTTGTTTATGAGAAGGTCATGTGAGAATCCAAAGAGTTATTAAAGATGAGATATATCACAGCTATTGCTTTCCTCCTATTCACAAGGCTTGTTACACTTTCAAAAAAGGATACAGGCAGTCCCCGGGTTACATACAAGATAGGGACTGTAGGTTTGTTCTTAAGTTGAATTTGTATGTAAGTCGGAACTGGTACATATTGTAAGGGAAACTCTAGCCAAACATTTCTCCAGAGCTCAGTTTTATTCTCCCACACCTCACTTCCTTCAGTCCTTTATTCTCAAGCTGAGGTGTCTGCTGAGAAAAGCCGTTCCGCATCTCCCTGGTCTGCTGGGAGGAGCGCTAGCTTCGCGTCTCCTTGGTCTGCTGGGGGGGAAACAGCTAGTGCGGGATTGCCTCACCCCGTTTGTAAGTAGGGATTCGATGTAAGTCGGATCCATGTAACCCGGGGACTGCCTGTATTCGGTTGTTTGGAGAGGTGAAAATAACTTAAATTTCTTACAGGCATTGTCATATTGCAACCCCTCCAAAGGGGTTAATACATGGGATAGGGGAGTGGGTGTGATGTGGGCCGGGGCAATTGAGGTGCCCCCATCCCCAAGATCTGTATCAGGATGCTGCTTGCTGTTCCCCTTTGCTATACTCAGAGCAAGAGCAAAGCTCACAGCGAGAGTTGCTCACTCCTCTGTCCCTTGCTCTCAGCAGCCAGGAGGTAGAAGAATGTGTGCATGTTTTACACTTTTCTCTTGCCCGCTGACAGTGACAGGAAAGGAAACAGCAAGCAGTATCCTGGTAGGAATCTTGGCTTCAATCCCCCCTGCCTTATTTAAAGGGTACTTGGAGGGTGTTGGGTTGGGGCAGCTCCACACCAGTGAGGGAGCACTCAGAGCCATCCTCTTTCACTTGCCTGGCTGCCTGCTACTTATCACAGCAGCCTGTAGAGAGCCCTTGGGGCCCAGCTGGAAGTGCACCACACCACAACCAAACCTTCAGTGTTGCTCGGCGCATGCCACCCAAGGCTCTGGCAGCAACTTAAAGGGCCCAGGGCTCCAGCAACTGCTGCTGTAGCATCAGTGGCCAGGAGCCCCCAGCCCTTTTAAATCAATAATTCCCAGAGTAGCTGCCCCCTTTGCCCTCCCCTGTCAGCTGGCCTGTTATATGCACATAATCAGCAAAGGCACCACTCTCTTGCTGTCTTACTTTGAGTGCCTAAATCATGATGTTTTCTGGAGCACGTGCCTCTCCAGATCACATTTCTTTAGCTACGGAGCTCTAAAATGAGACAGTGGGAAAATCATCAACATTTTAGTCCTGAAATAACGTGTAGCCATTAGGGTTAATAAATTGGGTCACTAGTTTGAACTTAAGTGAAAAGTCCCTCATCTCTTTTCAGGCCCCTTCTTTCATTCAACAAAACAACTAAGACCAGGAACCTATAGTCAGCAAATAAAGCAGGTGCATGTGCTGCTGAATTAAATTACCTCTTCCAGCAGCTCCCAGTCATATTTTGTATGTCCACGGAAAACAGTTTGGAACTCAATAGGAAGGAAGAGTTTCCACTTTTTAGCTGGACATCCTCTTAAAAACCCTTTCCTGAATTCCTTGAATGGTCTCTTTACCGATTCATTGAATACGTAGTTCACGTACAAATTAATGTATTCTTTCCTGCAAAGATATCAATTGAAAGCTATTGATTTCTTGCTTCTACTGAAACAGTGAGCAGCAACCTATAACAGGTCATTCCTGAAGGTGGCCTTAATCCAACACATGCAAGAAACTTTGTGCACTGAATTCAATAGGATTACTTATGTACATAAAAAGAAATGATTGTCAATTCAGTCACAACCATGAATGCATTTCCTGTACTATTTTTATATTTTATAAACAATTAGTAGTCCTGTGGCACTTTAGAGACTAATAAAAATGTATATAGTATCGAGATATTTTATAAGGTCATTCTTATTATTTATATCATAGTAGTAGCCAAAGGCCCCAGAGTATGACACGGCAGGTATTCTTTATCTTGTGTTGTATGTACATTTATGAACAAAATTCCTGGTCCATTTTCTGCTGTTTTATGGTGGTATAACTCCCGTTTAAGTCAACAGAATTATTTACATGGTTTTAATTCAGTTTGATTCTTCATTTTATTTGTGATAGGAATATTCTACTCTCTATATAACCTCCACCCATTTTAAATAATATACATAGGGCTTTCAGTTTCAGAGGTTTTTAACCTAATTGGACCATTTCTGATTTTCTGCATAAGATAGGCCAAATACCATCATCTTCCAGTTACCCCAACATTGAAGTTATTTTTGATACACTGAAAGGCTCATGAACTTTTACTTTCAACTATCTTTCTGTCCTATGTAACAAGCAATTTGCTCATGAGAAAAATCTTAGTACCAATACACATATTTAAATCTAAACTTCCTCCATGACAAACTAAAACATTAGATGCTCAAAGAGAAGGGGAGGGAAGGACAAAGAGATTATGAATTACCTGTTATGCTTTGTGATTGGAATGTCTGCCCCATTTTCTTTAAGTTCAATGGAAACTATTGATCCTCCTTGTTCCTTCATTATCTACAGCAGTCAAAGGTCAAATAAAAATTAAATGCTTGTTTAGCAATACCATTCTTATTTTTTACAGAAGGCCAGATACTGCAAACACTTATGAAGGTGAGAACTTAACATGTATGATCAATTGTGTTGAATCTCATTGGGGCTATGTCTGGACTACAGAGTTTTTCCAGGATATCACAAGTATCCCGGAAAAACTGCTGTGTCCAGGGAATGCCTCTGCTCTTCTGAAACCTTTTTTTTTGGCATCCCTGTAAACCTTGTATTACGAGGAAGAAGGGATGTTCCAAAAAAAGGTTTTTTTTCTGACATTTGGTGAAGTGTAGATGGGCCAGATGTCGGAAAAGCCTCTTCCGAAAAAAGCAGAAAAAGCTATGCAAATTGTGGTTCGCAATTTGCGTAGCTTTTTCTGGAAGAACAGTGTAGTGTAGACATAGCCTAGGACAGCTTATGAATCAAGTTACTCTATGTAGAAGTATTTGCAGAGTTGGGCTTATAAGCAGGATGATAATGGCTTACTGTAAAATCCATCATCATATTCTCAAGGATGTCGTCATAGTCTTCATTCAGGATTTCCTGAAGAGCCCTGTCAGAGAAGAAGCAATGTAGAAATGGACTCTAATTTTTGTTAGCACAAGTTAGAAAAATAGTTTCTAATTCAACACATAGAAACATATTTTAAGTCTTACACTTTATGTGGCACTGTTCATTCCAAATGTCCCCCAAATTAGTCTCTAATTGGTGAATGGTCCTATTGACGTAAGTAACTGTGTCCAAGTCTGCTATGCTTATTGAAAAAAAAAAAGAATTTCAACCTGGCCAGCATGATGGTAGAGAAGAATTATTTTGAACTGCATGGCAGCACCACACAGCAGTTCAGGACAAGAAGTGAAGTTTTTTGGGGTTTTTTTGCAGGTTCCTTGATGTAATTCATGGTTTGTTTTTTTAATTTTGTGAGAAACACCTCATTGCCATGGTGATAGATGCTGTGCAAGTTAGTGACATAAGTGAAGTAGCATGGGGAGGAGGTTGGGTAGGCAGAGTGCAAGTAACCAAGCTGGAATCTGTCCAAGACACTGGTACTAACAGACATGTTCTTACAAAATAAAAATCAGTTCCCATGCAAGCTTTGTAATCTTGATCTCTTAGGCTATATTTACACTACACCGTAGTTTGAAATAAGATACACAATTTACGTAGCTCAAATTGTGTATCTTATTTCGATCTTATTTCACTATCCTGCTATTTTGAAATGTCTCTTACTCCTTGTGGAATGAGGTTTACAGGGATGTCAGAATAGTGAGCCCAAAATGATGGGCTTGCTGTTAAGATGCAGGATAGCTATTTCAGGATACTCCAGGATCTCGAAATAACGTTGCAGTGTAGATGTAGCCTTTACTTCTTATTCAGAATGGGTACCATGGGATCCCCATCTATGATGACAGGACATCTGTTCAAAACAGAACTGCGGAGAAGAATATTATCTACTGAATAACCATCTCCATCTATACATATCTGAAATTTCCTCTTCAAACCCTAATGGAACCAAAGCTTGGGGTCTCAGCTCTGACGTGAAATCAAAGGAGCGACTGCAGCACATGTAGATATACCCAAGCTAGCTGTAATCTAGTTAGAGTGAGAATCAATAGCAGTGAAACTTCATCATAAGAGCCCCGGGTAGGCTTGTACAGCCTATGCTGAAGCTAGTGAAGTAACTGCTACTGATACTCATGTTAACTCAATTAAAGCTAACTCAGGTTTCTTACATGTGCTTCATGTCCATCTACTGGAATGAATTATCATATCATAAGCAATATGATTCTTTGAAGGCATGCACTTGAATTTACTGCTGTTAGCTGTGGTTTTAGTGATTTCTATGCACCACAAATTAAACTCTCCACAATTTTTATTTCATGGCAAAAAGCTTGGGGAAATTGTTTTATCATACCTCCCTTCTATAGGAGACAGCTCTTTTAAGTCTTCTAGAGTGGGTGGAATATCCAGCAACTTTTTGTACAGAGCTAGAGGGAAAAGAAAGGGCGCGATCTTCATATTATACAGTGCCATTCCAAACAGAGTACCAATCAGGAAAAAGGTGTCATCACTTCTTGGAACCTGATTTGTGTGGTTAAAAAAAAAAAAAAAAAAAAAACCTCTTATTACTGACTTTTATTTTAATTACACTGGTGAAGGAGTGCATCTAGTCAGGTTAAAGACAGGAGACAGGGCTCTGTGAATTGTATTCATTCTTTTTTTTTTTGCTACTGAGTTCCTGGTCAAGTTACTTACACTTACAGTCACTGGGTGCATCTAGACTGGCAAGATTTTGTGCAATTTGCGCAAAATCTTGCCGCCTGTCTACACTGGCCACGAGTATTTGCGCAAGAACACTGACTTTGTACTATACAAAATCAGTGGTTCTTGCTCAAATACTTTGATGCTCCCACTCAGGGATAAGCCCTCTTGTGCAAGTATTCTTGTCCATCGGAGATTTCTTGCGCAAGAGAGCATCTACACTGGCACGGATGCTTTTGCACAAAGGCACATGCCAATATAGTCGCTCTCCTTGCGCAAAATCATGCCAGTCTAGACGCAGCCACTATGTCTAACCTACAGTTGGAAGGTGTGATTGCAGCACATGTAGATACACTTGAGCTAAGTTTGATCTAACTTGATCAAAGCTAGCTTGATTATCCATAGGAATGAAGCTGCAGCAGAGATAGTCCCTGCCACTGTAGCATCACTGCAACTGTTACTTGGGCTAGCTTCAAAAGTTGCTCAGGTAGGGCCTGCAATTATACCTCCTGATTGCAGTGTAGACATGCCCAATTGGTAAATAAGGAGGTAACTGCATATATACAGACTCCTGTGCCTGTTATTTAACAGCACAAAATATGAAGGCCCTACATATGAAGTGGAAACTCCTTTAACTGAGAATCTGGTCATACGTGGGACGCCAGGATTTCCCCAAATAGACACTGAGCTTGCAGGATACTTTTCTTAAATTAAGATTAAAAATAATATCTTAACTCACCTGAGAAGGAAACCAAATCAGCTTGGAGTCCTCAAAAGTTTTGAATATCTGTGCTTCTGGACAACACAGTTCCCTTGTAATGATAGTGAAGAACTCCTGGGACAACCCTCCATCATCAATACCTTGTTCTCCAATGAACTGCACCTGAATAGTTCCCCAAAAGATCCAAAAAAAATCACTGTTCTCATGTCCATACTGAAATGATCACATGCACAACTCTTCCCAGCACTAGATTGTTACTTGGGCCATGAATCTGCAAAAAGCTGAATGCAGGCACAAGGGGCAGTTCATGCATATGAGACTGTAGGATTGTCATTCCCACCTCTGCAAACAAAAGCTGCAAAGTGAATACCCACAAAAGATGGAGATGGAAGAAGTAAAAGGTATAAGGGCCTATGCCACAGTATTGTCAACTGTCACAATTTTATCATGAGTCTTGTGCTAGTAGGTATTTTTCTGAAAGCCTCAGCTCTAGGAATCATGTGCATATGTAAGAATCTCCTCTTTCAATTTGTGGGGGAAAAGTCTAGCTTTTGTAGTTGCAGAAGCAAGCTTGAAAACATGAATATAGGGTCAAAAAACAGAAAGCAATGAAAAATAATCTGAACTATATTATTTTTAAAGATCATATGCATTTTTAAGATTGTTTTATAATTTTGGGGCTCCAAATAGTGGTTTTTTGAATGTTTGAAGTTGACAGTACTGTACCATAGTCTGACAATTTAGATCCTTATCCCTTATTTATCCCAAGGCACTAATTCTTCCCTTGCCCAGTTTTTCACAAATTACTTCACCAATATTTTATGTTTTTAAATTACTATTTTGTCCTTAGTGCGGTTGAAAATGCCAGACAGCCATTGGCATCCACTGTATTATTGAGGAGCCACACCTGAGTGTTAGTATGCATAAGGAGTGAAATCCTTACTCCAGAGAAATTAGTGACAACACTTCTATTGACTTCCATGGGCACAGGATATCATCCTCAGGCTTACTGTTGGTCTGCAACCCATGGGCTATGTCTACACTCGCGGCTTCTTGCGTGAGTAATATGCAAATGAGGCTAAGCATGGAATATCGCCAAGCCTCATTTGCATACCTAATGAGCCACCATTTTTTTCAGAAGAGGCTCTTGCGCAAGAAGGAGCGTCTACCCTGCCCCTTCTTACTCAAGAAAAACCCTCTTGCGCAATGCCATTCTTCCTGTCAAGTAATAGGGGTAACGGCATTGCACAAGAGGGTTTTGGTAGCGCCGCCCCTTGGTCAGTTTCAGCAGTGGCTGAATCGGGGAAGCCGGGGGCAGAGCAGCTCCAATGGTCCAGCTGCCCGGAACACTTCCGGGTTCCTGATGGTGCCGGACCATCAGATGCCAGACCAATGGAGTTTTACTGTATATGTATTTATTGTTGGGCATCATTTGTATATGGGTTCTCAGAAATCTCTATACTCTCAAAAGGTGGTTAAAGCTGTAATTTCTTCTTGTCATTTTGGTGGTAATAAATCACATGAACTTTTGGGTCACAATAATTTCAGAATCTCTGGATAGAATAAATTACCCAGGTAAGAGTGGCCTGAACATCCAAGCCTGACTGTTGTGTAAATAAAAGCAATACTTCGTTAATTGAAAATGAGTGTTAGACATTCTTACATGAAAAAGTAACATATACAGCAGTCACATAGGTCCCAGTTTAAAATGTAAAAGAATCCAAGGAAATGTCCTCAAGAACATCTGCAATTCAGGCTCTCACTCCCATTATTTTGTGCTCTCTCATTCCTGACACAGTACATCTCTCTCGCTCTTTGGATTCTTTTCTCATGTATGTGCTTTCTTTGAATTTCATTCTATTCCCCTATGCATTTTTCTACTCCAGTTTCTTTTATGTGTTCCCTTCCTCACTTTGCTCCTCCATGTCACCTTCTAGTTGTTTTGTTGCTCCATTCCAGCTGTACTGTATCAGTTGTAAATAGCATTTTCAAAATCCAGTAGCAGTGTCCACATTTGAAAGAAAATATGGCTTCTATGACTTCAGTTACTTTTTTTTATTACTGAAAGATTTGGTAGACCACCCTTTTCTGGCAGGGAAGCTCTGTGACATTGAACACGAAGTGCTGTAGTGGGGCATTTGATGACCCAGTTTGAGAGTTTAGATTTTTTCTGTATCTCAGCAAGTTTTCAGGTAGAAATATGGGTTATGGGGAAGAGCTCATATGCCAAAATTTAATATTTTTCTCTTATTTTTATGCTGAATGACATTAGGCACCAAGTATTTGTTATTTTTGTTTCTTCTTTTTTTAAACTCAAGGTTAAAATTTAAACACCCTAGATTTTCTTTTTCCAGTTTCCCACTGGAACCATTTGTCCTGAACAAGGTATAAATCTCTGAAAACAAAAGTTTAGAGTGGGGCTACTCAACTTTGGAAGCCCCGGGGACCATGATACTCACAGCACATGCCGAGGGCCACAATTTAAGTGTGGTTGCATAAACGCGCAAATATATATGGAAATAGCTTCTTTCACACTGACAGGCATGAATACAAAGATTGAGCCATAAACCACAGTGCCGCACCCAAATCATAGAGCTGGAAGAGACCTCAAGAGGTCACCAAGTCCACCTCTCTGCCCAAGGCAGGACCAATCCCACCTAAATCAACCCAGCCAGTGTTTTGTCAAGCTGAGACTTAAAACCTTTAGGAATGGAGTTTCCACCACCCCTTAGGTAGGTAACCCATTCCAGTACTTCACCACTCTCCTAGTGGAATAGTTTTTCCTAATATCCAACCTAGACCTCTCCCACTGTAACTTGAGACCGCTGCTCCTTGTTCTGCCATCCCTCACTACTGAGAACAGCCTCTCTCCATTCTCTTTGGAATCTCCCTTCAGGAAATTGAAGGCTGCTATCAAATCCCCCCTCACTCTTCTCTTCTGCAGACCAAACAAACCCAAATCCTTCAGTCTCTCCTCATAGGTTATGCGCTCCAGACCCCTAGTCATTTTGGTCACCCTCCGCTGGACCCTCTCCAATGCGTCCACATCCTTAATATAGTGAGGGGCCCAGAACTGGACACAATACTCCAGGGCTGCGTCTGGATTGGCATGATTTTCCGGAAATGCTTTTAACGGAAAAGTTTTCCATTAAAAGCATTTTCGGAACAGAGTGTCTAGATTGGCACAGACGCTTTTCCGCAAAAGCACTTTTTGCAGAAAAGCATCCGTACCAATCTAGATGCGCTTTTCCGCAAAAATGCCCCAATCGCCATTTTCGTGATTGGGGCTTTTTTGCGGAAAACAAATCTGAGCTGTCTACACTGGCCCTTTTGCGCAAAAGCTTTGCGCAAAAGGGACTTTTGCCTGAACAGGAGCAGAATAGTATTTCCACAAGAAGCACTGATTTCTTACAGTAGGAAGTAAGTGCTTTGGCGAAAATTCAAGCGGCCAGGGTAGACAGCTGGCAAGTTTTTCCGGAAAAGCGGCTGATTTTCCAGAAAAACTGGCCAGTCTAGACATAGCCCAGGTGTGGCCTCACCAGAGCCGAAAAAAGGGGAATAATCACTTCTCTGGATCTGCTGGCAATGCTCCTCCTAATGCACCCTAATATGCCATTAGCCTTCTTGGCTACAAGGGCACCCTGTTGATTCATATCCAGCTTCTCATCCACTGTAATCCCCAGGTCCTTTTCTGTAGAACTGCTACTTAGCCAGTCGGACTCCAGCCTGTAACAATGCTTGGGATTCTTCCATCCCAAGTGCAGGATTCTATATTTGTCCTTGTTGAACCTCATCAGATTTATTTTGGCCCCATCCTCTAATCTGTCCAGATCACTGTGGGCCAATCAGCACCTCTCAGGCTCTGCCCACAAAGCTAAGCAGCCAGCATTTCCCACAATATACCCTGGCAGTCCCAGCACCTCCTCCCTGAGAGCTAGAAATGCAGACATCCTGTACCTTTCTGTTCCAGCCAGCCTGTGCACTTGCATCTTTCAATGCTCACTCCATTGCCTTGCCATTGTGGTGCATGTTCCCAGTAGAGGCCATCTTCAAAGGATCCCACCCTCCTAAACCCAAATTGCATTGTGGGCTGCAAACAAATGGCCCCCGGCTGTATGAGGCTCTAGGCAGCTTGTTGAGTAGCCCTGGTTTACAGCACTCAAGCTCTAATGTGTTGAGCAAGATTTCAAAAGAAATTCCAATGTCCCGCTGAAATCAACTAACAACCTGAACACCTGCTGACAAAGAAAAAACAATCTAAACTCTCCAAAAACTGTGTCATCACAATGAGATTTAAAATAGACTGAAAAGTAGCCCCCTAAAAGGAACGGTCCCTAATCCTGCCACAGCAGTACAATGTCAGGTCTAGGGGAGCACAGATGTGAGAACTGCCCAACTTTTCCAAAGGTGCCCAAGCAGCTGCCGCTCCGCTTGCAGATCCGGTTGAACGCGAAGGGAGCGGGACCCATCCGTCGGTCCATTCACCCACTGTCAGGAAAGCTCAGCGGCTGGGAATGGCGCCGTTCAGTGGGCGCCGCGGGCAGCGCTCGGGGCCGGGAGGCGGGTCCCTGTCGCACAGGAACTCGTTGCAGAGCCGGCGGCCCGGTGAGTCAGCAGCAGGCGCGGCGGCCATGCGAGGGTGGTTGAACGCGAAGGGAGCGGGACCCATCCGTCGGTCCATTCACCCACTGTCAGGAAAGCTCAGCGGCTGGGAATGGCGCCGTTCAGTGGGCGCCGCGGGCAGCGCTCGGGGCCGGGAGGCGGGTCCCTGTCGCACAGGAACTCGTTGCAGAGCCGGCGGCCCGGTGAGTCAGCAGCAGGCGCGGCGGCCATGCGAGGGTGGTACGGGAGCAGGACGCTAGTCTCAGCGCTGCTGGGCGGCCAGTCCCAGCCTTCGGGAGCTGCTGCTAACAGCGGCGGGCCCGGCGGCCTTGCGGGGGTGGTCCGGGAGCAGGACGCTAGTCTCAGCGCTGCTGGGCGGCCAGTCCCAGCCTTCGGGAGCTGCTGCTAACAGGCGGCTGCGGGTTGCAGCCCTGAGACGCGCCTCGGGCGGGCAGAAGGGCCGGGAGCAACAGCAGCTCTTCGATTCGGCTCTGCTGCAGTTCCTAGTCTGCCCTCTCTCGAAGAAGCCACTGAGGTGAGGCCCGTCCCTAATGCTCCTTCCTGCCCTTTGCCGCAGACGCATTCCCCCCTGCACCTCGGCAGCGGCCAGCCGAGTGGCCCTCCCCATCCCCCTTCTTCGGGGATACGATTTTCACTAAGAGTGACAATTTTATATGCGGCTGATTTCAAAGCAGGTGTGAAATTTCACTGTCCCATTGAACATAGCAATTGCCCTTAATCACAACAGAGGAGCTGGTTTTAAACTCAGCCCTAAAGCTAGTTTGAACGATAACATATCCCATCAGTCCATCTTGGCAAGTCACTGGCTTTCCTGTTTCTGTAGTTTCCTGTTAACTGAATTGTACATATCCTCTTGCTGGGAGGCGGTTTAAAATGGAAGGAGCCTGTATGTCAAATACTCTCAAATACTCTCACTTCATTTTCACCTGTTTCCCTCTATGGGCATGCTATTTGGACCTACTAGGATTAATAAACACAGCAAAAATTGGAACTAGAATATAATCTTTTGCATTCATGACTGGGACACATGCTCTGCAGAAGCTCCAGTTTGCCATAATTTATTTTTACATCTATCTTCTATATTGCAGACACAAACACAATAATAAAATACTGCATGAGTAAGTAACTGTGAAATACTACCAAGGTGAATGGAATTTTCTACACAATCGTAATTCCCAACTGCAGGGGCATAAGGTGCCCAACTGGTTAAGGAGTTTTCATTTTCATAATTTAAATGTTATACATTTTGTTATGAAGAGAGTTGCATCCTGCCTCCATTCTATATAGTATCTCTTACTGAAGGAATGTTTTTCTGCTTTGAGAATGTCCTGATTACTTTGTTAGGATAATTCTAATATTTTTTAGCTACATATGTTGATCATTATTTCATTTGTCTTCTCACCCTCAGTAAACATCCTCCCACCAAGTCTTTTTATCTACTGTTCACATTTTTTACATTATTTGATCAGGTATGAAGAATCCACTAATGAACTAATTAACCAAGAACTGGGCATTGCGTATCCAATCACTGATGGCATTCCTAATATGATCCCTCAGGCCGCAAGGATGATTGACAGAAAGATCCAAGATGAAGAATCAAAGAAAACCTAGATAGCTGTTCTTAACAGCAAAACCTGAGCACTAACCTACATCCACAGTAACTGGGAAGAAAAATGTTCCTGTCTCTGCCTACGCTAACTGTACTTGTTCCATTATTGTCCTTAGTTGGTCTGCTTTATTCAGCCAGTGTGGATGAAAACTTCCCAGAGGGCTGCACCAGCACAACGAGCTTGTGTTTCTACAGTCTGCTTCTTCCTCTTACCATACCAGTCTACATGTTCTTTCACCTTTGGACCTGGATGGGTATTAAACTTTTTAGACACAATTAATAAGGCAAAAGCTTGGAAGGCACCACAAAAATGACTTGCTACCCTTGTGGCTGCTTTGGGTGTGTGTGGGGGGGAGGGGGGGAGGAAGAGCCCCCACCCCCACCTATTATATTACCCAAACCTTACTATTATATTCCATGCTGTTGCAGTAGTCTCCTACTCAAGACTAGCAATAGTGGTGATCTTTATTAATTCTTCCAATGCCATCTGAAAATGTAGCTTTTTGCACAATGGCCTAATTTACTGCTAGGAGAGAAATAATGTTCTCTTGTTCCTCCTCCATAGTCCCATTAAAACCTGTGGGTGTATTTTAAGGCTACACCACAAGCATGTCAAGGGTGCTGTATCTCTTTGATAAAGAATAAACTTTGTGCACTGATTCATTATTTTAAATAGGTTCTCTGTTGCCTTGCTGGCATGACTTGGTGTCTGCAGTGGAGTGCTATGGAAATACAGTATAATAAATCAAACATATCTGCATGTGCTTTACAGATTCTGTATTAAGAACTCTTCAGTCACTACTGAAATGCAGCCACGTTTTAGATAGCATCCATGTAGGCATCTGTAATTCTGTAGGTTTTATTTAGATGTGGAAGTGAAAAGTAGTTGTTCTAGTTAAATTATAGGGCGAATTAAGAACATAAGAATGGCCATCATGCATCAGACCAAAGGTCCATCTAGCCTAGTATCCGATCTTCTGATAATGGCAAATACCAGATGCCCCAGAAGGAAGGGAACACAACAGGTAATCCTCACAGGATCCCTCTTTTGTCACCCATTTATAGACAAACTAAGGACATCATTCCTACCCATCCTGGCTAATAGATTCATGGAGGTCAGGTCCACCAATGGCTATCTAGCTTTTTTTTTTAACCCTGTTAAAGTCCTAGACTTTACCACATCCTCTGGCAAAGAGTTCCACAGGTTGACTGTGCGCTGAGTGAAGAAAACATTTTGTTTTGAACCTGCTGCCTATTAACTTTATTTGGTGACCCCCTAGTTCTTATATTGTGGGAATAAGTAAATAACTTTTCCTTATTTATTTTTTCCACACCAGTCATAATTTTATAGACCTCTATCATATCCCCCATTAGTCTCCTCTTTTCTGAGCTAAAAAGTCCCAATCTTTTTAATCTCTCTTCGTATGGGATGGTTCCAAACCCCTGATAATTTTTGTTGCCCTTTTCTGAACTTTTTCCAATGCCAAGATATCTCTTTTGAGATGAGATGACTATATCTGTATGCAGTATTCAAGATGTGGGCATATCATGATTTTATACAGAGGCAATAAGATATTCTCTGTCTTATGCTCTCTTTTTTAATGATTGCTAACATTGTTGGGGGGTTTTTTGATTGCCGCTGCACACTGAGTGGATGTTTTCAGAGAACTATCCACAATGACTCCAAGATCTCTCTCTGACAGAGCATTTGTCATTATTGAAATAGGCATTATTATTGCCAGAATAGCAGAACTGGCCAGTCTATTCATGGCATGAGGGAATCCTGAAATCTGTGCCAACTGCCAGTGGATAGCAGTAGTCTGGCAGTTACCAACCATATCCTCTCCCCAGCCTCTTGCAAGATCTATGGTGACTGGGGAAAAGTAGTAGTAAAAGAACGGAGCAGGGCTGAGAATCAGGCCTATTAGAGTACCGTACTTTAGGTAACTTTTAGAAATGGGTGAGAACCTAAGTCTTCATCTCCATTAGGGGTAATGCACACTATGGGGCTGTGTCTACACTGGGCCACTTATTCCGGAAAATCAGTCACTTTTCCGGAATAAGCTGCGAGCTGTCTACACTGGCCCTTGAATTTCCGGAAAAGCAACGATGCTCTACTGTACAAAATCAGCCGCTATTCCGTAAAACTATTCTGCTCCCGCTCGGGCATAAGTCCTTATTCCGGAACACTGTTCCAGAAAAGGGCCAGTGTAGACAGCCCAGTAGTCTTTTCTGGAAAAAAGCCCCGATCGCGAAAATGGCGATCGGGGCTCTTTTCCGGAAAAGCGCGTCTACATTGGCCACAGACGCTTTTCCGGAAAAAGGGCTTTTCCGGAAAAGCAGCCTGCCAGTGTAGACGCTCCTTTTCCGGAAAAACTGAAAACGGAATAGTATTCCGTTTTAAGCATTTCTGGAAATTCATGCCAGTGTAGACACAGCCTGGGAGTGCAGTGTTTTATAAAGCACAGGAACATGTATATGTATTGGTCTGGATACACTGATGGTGCATTTCAACATAGCTCTGTCTGAAACTATTTTAAAGAGCAATAGGGAACCATCCTTGGGCAAAAGCTGGGTTTACAGAGCGCAATTAACCCAACACCACATTTTCTGCATTAAAAATCACAGCCATATATAGTGCATTACCCCACCACGTAGACAGCCTGTAGTCAAACAGTGCCAGTCATCTTAACTTAAAGTAGGAGCTTCCACCTAGACAGACAAAGACAGCTCTATTGTTGAGACAGACTGGTGACAGCAAAAGTGACACCTGTACATGAGTTAGAACATCTATGTACAAATCATCATTAGGCATGCTGTTGTCACCCTGACATAAAAATCAAGAGGATAAGGAAGAAGGAGCAGAAGAATCTTCCTACATAATCTTTTAGCTTAGGTTGGAAATGTGCTTCCATTTACAGCATGGTAACATATTTCCATGTGAAAACTGAAGAGTCAGGTCTGTGTTGGGTATCTATCCGGGTACTGAGATTTATGCCAAATGCATCTGACTAGTCACATATATGGTAACTAGTTAACATAGGATGGATCTTCTAATGCAGTGGTTCTCAAACTTTTTGGCCTGCAGCCCACAATGTTCAATGCAAACCAAACCTTTCCACAGGCCACCAGCCAACCACCCATGTTGACAAAATGTGTATAGGGCAGGCCTAGATAATATAGGGTGCACGGACCTGGCCTGTAGACACAGCAGGAAGCCTCAGGCAGACTCCCTGCTTGCCCGAGCTCCCACACGCTGCTGAGAAAAATGGCTGCCAGGCTGTTTGTGTTTCTCAGCTGTGAGGAAGGAAAAGCTGCCCCCCAGCC